TGCATTATCTCTTCAATAAAACCTGTTAAACCTTTTCTCCTGGTCTCCCTGTTTGGTCTTCAGCATTTGGGTCTGAATTTCAGTAAAATCATGACATTCCTGAGTGATCTATTTGTAAGGTTGACACAGACCACAATGTGATGGCTTGTTTGGGAGTAACTGCACTTTACATTCAAATAAAGCATCAAAATCAAGCCTCCTCAGTCTTAGACATCATTTTTCATATACATGTATCTTTTTACTAGAGACATGAAGTCATAAAGCTGACCTTTGGCTTTTATGATAAACAGTTTTACAGCTCAGTATATTTTACTGAGTTTCAAGTGATACAAAAGGAGAGTTATTGGTTTTATCAAATGTTATTATAATTAAAATGATAGAAAATTTACAGGATGCAAGTCTCAGTGGGATTTAGGTATGGACTTCCACTAGGTTATTTTGATACAGGAAGATGCTTTGATCCAAACTACCCGGCTGTACTTCTGGTAGGATGTTTGTGCCTCCTATCCTACTGGACCTCCTGTCAGGTTTTTCCAAGACTCTAACCTACTGTTCTTCAAGACTGTTCTGTTTTCAACTTCCACTCTGACCAGCTTCCATGTAGATGCTGAAGAAATTTATCCCACAGCATGATGCTGCCACCACCATGTGTGAGTATCGGGATAGAGGGTGAGGTGCAGTGATGTTTTCCTGCCACACATAGGGATTTTCGTGCTGTTCCAAGTGTCAAGTTTTGGTCTAATCTGACCACCTTTTTCAGGTGTTTGTTGTGGTCTCAACAGCTTAAAGCCATTTTATAACAGAACTGTTTTTTATCACATAGATAAGAAAATCCCAACAACATACTAAGGCCATCTAACACAACCTAATGTGAATAAATTACCTTTGTTGTGATTTTATGTTCAATTCTATTCACAGCCAGCTGGGAATTAATATTTCTGATACTTTAAGATGTTTATTGTACGGAAGAGGATTAGGGCCACTGGAAAAAAAGTAAACTGATTTTTAAATTTTATTTCAGTTTAACGTGGGAAAAAAGTCAGAATTCTGAGATTAAAGTCAGAATTCTGACTTTTTTCTCAGAATTCTGACTTTAATC